TTTTTTAAGATTTTATTTATTTATTTTTAGAGAGGGAAGGGAGGGAGATAGAGAGGGAGAGAGAAACATCAATGTGCGGTTGCTGGGGTTATGGCCTGCAACCCAGGCATGTACCCTGGCTGGGAATCGAACCTGGGACACTTTGGTTCCCAGCCCGCGCTAAATCCACTGAGCTACGCCAGCCAGGGCTCTCTCCTCATTTTTTTGAATTCTTGTTTCTTCATTCTTTTCTGAATGGATGTTTCTTTCTTCCCTCTGGTCCATTCCACTGATTTGAGTCCCAGTTTCCTTCCCATCACTATTGGTTCCCTGTACATTTTCTTTTTTCACTTAATGTAGCCTTCATTTTTTCATCTAATTTGTGACCAAATTCAACCAATTCTGTGAGCATCCTAATCACCAGTGTTTTGAACTGTGCATCTGATAGGTTGGCTGTCTCTTTGTTGCTCAGTTGTATTTGTTCTGGGGCTTTGATCTGTTCCTTAATTTGGGCCATTTTTTTTGTCTATTGATGTGCCTGTTTTGTAGTGAGGGACAGAGCCTTAGGTGTTCACCAGGGTGGCGCAACCCAGTAGCTGTGTTGTGACACTGTGGGGGAGGGGTCTGAGAGGGAACAATGGCGTTTACTCCGCTCTCTGCCACTTCCCCCACTTCCCACAAGCAAATTGGGCCCTTCTGGTGGTGATTCCTGGGTGCATGGTTTGTAGGCCTCCTCCAGCCACTGCTTTGCCATGACCCTTTTCTACCCCGCTGCCTGTCTCCACCCCTCCTACTGGTCTGGATGAATGTGTCTACTTTAACTCCTTGGTTGTCGGACTTCCATACAGTTCAATTTTCTGTCGGTACTGGTTGTTTTTTGTTTCTAAATTGTTGTTGTCCTTATTTTGTTTGTGTGAGGAGGCACAGTGTGTCTACCTATGCCTCCATCTTGGGCTGAAGTCTCTATTTCTAATTTTTTTATCCTGTTCCTATGAATTACAGTTTTTTGAGTCCTGGCTAATAGGACTTCAAAGATATCCTACTCTCCTATTTATTTGGTGAGTTTGTCAGACCTGTATCAGTAATTTGAATAATATTTTTAGAACATGTTATAACTTCTCTTTTTTCAACATTAGTTATTAGCAATGAAAATCATACATTCTTTTTGTTGTTGTTCAGAGGTTTTATTTGTTAAAATATTAGCACTCTAAATTGCAATTTTGGGAAGAGCAGAGCTTGATGAAAGTAGTAGTGCTTATTTTTATCTATGTTTAGAAATACTAATTTAGAAAATCTGACTATATCTGTTTCAGATACGTGTTAACCCAGTTCTCATGCAGTTTTCTCCCTAATCCATGTAAGAGGAGAGAATAACTTTCACGTTTTCATTTAGAAATGAGAGCTGGGAAGAGAGATAGGGAATTCAGTCCCACATACTTCATAGAAGTATAACATAAAATCACTATCTTTTCATTTATTCCCTTTAGATATAAAAGGCTTATAATTTATAGAAAGAAACTTAAAAAATGTTTAGGTTTCTCTTTGGTTCTCTTTTTTCTAGTTCTTATTTAACATATATTTATTTTTAGAGGGTGGGAGAAAGAAAGGGAGTGAAACATCAGTGTGAGAGAGAAACATCGAGATCAGTTGACTCTTGCTTGTGGTCTTACCAGGAGCAGAACCCACAACCCAGGCATGTGCCCTGAGCAGTGACAACCCTTTGCTTCGCAAGAAGACACCCACTCAAGTGGACCACACTCGTCAGGGCAGCTAGTACTTATTTAAAAAGAACTCTCTCTCCCCTAAGGATACCGGTCAGCCTTGTGCTTAGAGAATTATTAATCTTTGCAAGGAACTGAAGTAGAAAATGTCTTTGTTCACCTTTGTCCATTAACTCCCTTCTTTTTTACTTTCATTTCTTTTTTTTTTTAAATTTCTCACCATTTCTACTAAGTTATTTAGGTATATTTATTCCAATTATATATAAGATAGCCTGAAGAATTTTAGGATCCTTGTTACTAAAAGAACTCTGCTGGCTGCTAGAAGAACTTTGGAGGGAAGTTGTGAGTCATCAGGTAATCCCTATTCTGAAAGTGGCCTGGAATGTGAGATGCACTCTCCACAGAGATGGTATGTATGTTGAATAGGTTCCCAGGTCAGTGGGCAATGTCATGGAAAAGAACATTCAGAATTTTAACCTAGGGTACCACAGTCCATCTCCCTGATTTATCTCATCTTGGTAACTCATTCACTCATTTATCAAACATTTAGTGAGCAGCTTCTGTCTTTTAAGGCGCTAGTAAGGGAATTTACATTTATCGAGAGTGAGGGGAGGAAAGGTTAGTGTTGAAGGGCTGGATCTCAGAAATGAAAACAAAGATAAACAACACCCCAGTGCTCAGGAAGTTCATGAAAAGTGAGGCTACTAGCCTCAACTTTTACTTTTTATCTGTACTATTCTATGATTTCAGAATTTGAGCATTATGCTACTGACATTGGATCCTCCAGTCAGGGAGTTTTGCAATCCAGGTACTGGAGAAAGAGGGGTGATTGCTTTCGTAGAGTAGAAGACTAGAAGATGAGGCCACTCTTTATTCTTTATAGGTCTGTTCTCTTGGTTCTCAGCCCCCATGGTATGTTAAATAGTTGATTTTTATTTTAGTACTGTATACTGAAGAATTTCTTTACTTAATTTCCCTTGCTGTTCTAGGACCCCTGTAATAGTTTTCGTTGGTGGTTTTATACATTTTAATGTTCTGTAATAACTATTTTTCTCAAAGTAATTCTTCTGAATGTCTTAGGTATTTGTGCATTCAGATGAATCATCCTACTTTCCAAATAAATTCCCTTAGTATTTTGAGTGATATTTTAATTCAGTTTATACATTGGTTTACAGATTTTTGACACCTTCACAATATTAAGTTTTTCTCAATTTAAGAAGTTTTTAATTTATATACCTCAGTAAAGTTTTATAGAGTATTTTAGTTTTTTTATGGTTACTTTTAAAATTACATAATCTTATTGGCTATTGATTTTACTTTTGGAGCTATTTTTGTTTACTTATTAAAAAACCATCTCAAGAAACCTAATAATTCTAAAATATTTTTAGGTTATATTCTTAACAGAATTGTGTCATCTGAAGTGATGGAGTTTTGCCTTTTCCTGATGCTGAAATCTCTTATTTTTCTTACCTAGTTGTATCAGATAGTCCTTCCAGATTGACGTTAACAACTGTGGTGATAGTGGACATTAATGCCTTAACTCTGTTTTGCTTTTAAATTTTGTCATTATTTTACCGTTAAACATGATCCTCTGTTGGCTTGAGAACGTTTTTTAAAAGTCATAATAAGAGAGTTTCTTTTTCTAATCAGGACTAATTTTTTTAAACTGTCAATAGTTTTTACTAAGTTTCTTGTTCTGATTCTGTTTTCCCCTGAGGAATACGCTGTTTGACTAGCTTCTCCACTTTTGATCTCGTCTCTGTTCATCTGTACTGTGAATTGCTGTATACAAGTTCTTTTTTCAAAATCATTTTGATCATGTTTTACTTATATTCCAGGGAATTATTGCACCTTCCATGTTATATAGTGAAAGGTTCAGACTTCTCGGGCTATTTATATTATTTATTTTTCTTTGTGATCACAGCATGTACCTTTCCAGCCTTCACCTTTGTCAAGAACTGTGGCAGCTCTGATATCTTATCCTGCTTGCAGGCTTATATGTGAGCCTACCATAGTTTATGGGTCCTGGTAGAAGACACTAGTCCGCTGGGTCAGAGTCAAGGACAGGTTATCACTCATAGCGATTGCAGAAGCCTCAGTATCAACATTTTCCTTGTACCAGTTATCCAAGCCCCAGTGCCCACAGGGTTGCATGACTAGGGCCAGGTGACACCAGTCGCACAGTTTCATTACAGGAGAGGACCCTGAACAATCTCTGGAATCTCAGCCTGCTTGTTTCTTTAATTCACCTCTTCCAGTCTCTTCCACAGTTTTGTCTCCACATCATCCTAATTTGCAACTCCATCTTAACTTCCATATCCCCCATTGTGGATCTTGTGTCTTTGAAGGTGCTGCTTATGTACTAAGTTCCTCCTATTCCAGACATGCCAGTGATTATTCTTGGTTTGCACATTGGCCTCAGTCTTTTTTTCTCTTTGGATAATTTGTAAGATCTCTTATTTTTCCTGCTGTTCTGTACTTTGGTCAATGTCTTAGTGTTTGCAGAGTGCCTGCAGGGCTGTTATTTATTTTTTGTTTCTGACAGAACCTTTTAGGGCAGTGCATTGGTTAGTGTGTGTTCAGTTGTAGGAACAGATAACCCACTTTAATGAATAGAGTTTGTTTCTGATTATGGGTTGCTGTTTTTTTTAACATGTAAAAAGTCTGGAGATAGATATGTTGATTCAATTTTTTAGCAACACTCTGTCCTGTAAGTTTTTCCATGTGTTCTTCCTACCATGTGAAATTCTCTTTTTCTACAATATGTTTGCAGCTCCCAATTACACCCTACCTTTAAATTATAAGCTCTTTCACAGATTCTTTGTAGAATATTTACTCTGTAGGTTTAAAAAACAAAACAAAACTCTTCTTGTATGTACTCACCAGTACTAATAAGCTAGAAATGGCCTTTCTCATTAAGTTTTATATGTATGTCTTATCTTTCCTATATACTCTAAATTCTATATCCATGGTGTATATTTTGTTACCCTCTGTAAAATGCCTTGTTTAAGGTAGCCACAGTTTGTTTACTTGTTGAATGGATGAGTGAATCCTACCTTTAAGCAAACCTTGAAAAAAGATGTTGGCAGGGGTGTGAATGTGGAGGTTTGGGTTTTAAGAAAGTAATTTAATTTACAGGCATTAAATATATATCTTGCTGAAAGGAACACCTTTATTATGTAAATCAGTTTCTGAGTGCACAAATATTTCTTTTATTACTATCAAGTGTATCTTCACATATCACCAAAGTGTTCTGTTAATACTATGTAAAATAAAATGGAAACTGTCTTTCTCTTTCAGTGCTTGGATGAATATGAAGATGATGAAGCGGGTCAGAAAGAGAGAAAACGAGAAGATGCAGTTACACAACAGAATACGATGCAGAATGAAGCTGTCAACTTGTTAGATCCAGGCAGTTCCTATCTGCTGCAAGTGAGTATTTAAAGTAATAGGATGTCACTATGTAGTTTAACAATAATTTGTAAGTTACTGTTATTTCTAGTTTCATTTTGGTTGCATCAGTTCCACTGAAATATTTTCAGTGGATTTATCTGATTTTCTTTATATACAAATATTCAAATACTTTTGACTTAAGCAGTCTTTGGTCTTTATTTCATAATCAATGAATATTTGCTGATTGACTGACTAATAAGCAGGTATAAATACTATCAGTGGTAAAAACAACCAAGAATGGCAGTTATCTAAAAGTAAGAATTAGTAAGTTTGAGTGTGCAGTCCTTTTTTAGTTCCATATTTGTTTTAAAATTGCATAGCAAATAAAGACTTGAACAGCAAATTTCTATAAGTCAAATGTTTAAAGATAACAAAATCATGAATTGCTAGAAACATCTATATTTCTGCATAATCGTAACATTCAACTCAGTTTTAAATTAGCTGTTATTTTTAATTAAGGCACAGAAAATGGGGAGTTGATTGTATTGGGATGCTTCAGTATAAAGTAAGTCACTTTGCAAAATAATTTAATATAAACTAATTTGTGAATGATCTTGACATAATCTAATCTTAAATTAATTTGATGACATTTTGAGATCTTAAGTTACTGTGTTGTCTTTTCAGAGGTCCAGTTTTGACTTTTTAAATTTTATTAAGATACCACTTTAAAAGGAGTTTCTGACACAAATTCTCTATTTTACTGATAAAAAAATGAAATATAACATGTCTGTTACTTTGCAAGGTAATTATAAACAGGCATTTAGCAGAGAGAGAGGCAAAATATTTTGAAGTGGTTTGGAATTCGGATCCAAAACTTTTCTCCTCTGCTCTTTGGGTCAGATTTGTTAATGTGAAGAATTGTAGAATGATACAGGTCTGTTTCTCTGTACCCAAATTGCCACTACTGGGACATGTAGTACCTATTACAAACACGTGGTGTGAGCTAACAAGCAGTATTTCAGCATCTGTGTAACTATTCATAATGTAAAATATCTTTGTATCTTTGTCTAACAAAAATGAAATTAAATCTAGACCTATTCCACCTGGAGATTATTATTCTAAGTGAAATAAGCCAGTCAGAGAAAGACAAGTACCATATGATCTCACTTATATGTGAATCTAATGAACAAAATAAATTGACAAACAAAATAGAAACAGACTCAAAGATACAGAAAACAAACTGGCAACTGTCAGAGGGGAGGGGAGATGGTTAGATGGGTGGAAACTGAAGGGCTTAAGGAAAAAAAAACAAACAAAGAAACTGAGACACAGACAATAGTACGGTGATTGCCAAAAGGGTGTGGGGGAGGTAGAAGAGGGAGGGTAAAGAGGGGATAAATAATGAAGGAAAGAGATAACTTTGGATGGTGAACACACAATGCAATACACAGATGATGTGTTATAGAATTATGCACTTGAAATCTATATCATTTTATTACCCAATAGAATCCCAATGGATTCAATTGAAAAAAGGGTGTAAAAGAACAAAAAAGGCATTTTTTCCATGAGCCCTGGTGCATATATGGAAAATACATGAACAGTGCTTAATTTCTCTTGATTATTTTTTCTTTTTCTCAAAGACCTTTACTCCCACTCTCCCCCTTTTTTGGAATGGAGCACTGATGACAAAATACATTAAACATGAGGATGAAAATCCTAATCTGCAAAGAAAAATAAGAAAAAAAAACTGGGCCTATTCCCGGTGATGAAGATATAAGCTTAATTTATTGGGGATAGAGACAATATAGATAGCATCTTAAAACCTGGTTTTAATTCTTGATCATGCCACTTATTCTAACATACTCAGTAACTCCAGGCAGCGACTTTTAGAAATAGAGTTGATTTCTTTCTATGATAAAAAGCCCTTTCCCAGTCAAAGCTGGGGTGACTTGTGTTAGAACACATAGTTATTCCCAAATAAGTACCCAGATATGGAACAGTCTCAGCTGATTGAAGCTTTCTGAGGAGCTTTCTGCCTCAAACAGTTTATCTTTTCTCCTGTAATTTTTCTAATTTCTTTCCAGGCCCACTCTATTTGTTTCATTTTGCTTTGCTTCATTAGCAGTTAGGATATGACTCATTTTTTTACCTTGGTTCCAAGTGTGCGTTTTGCCAAGCTCTGTGCCTAGTATGAAAATGGAGCTGTCTTGCATGGGTGTCAGATTGCCACATTCAAGAGGAGTGGGAATAGGTACTCCTCTGTCTATGTAGTTGACCTCTCTCTGAGTTACTGCCTAAACTTACATATTCTACTACTTATGTAGGATAGATAGTTATTTGCAACTCTAACTTCAAAAAACAAAAACCAGAAAATTTTAGCATCATTGGTTGATTTAAGGCTTTTAAAAAAATTATTGTTCTATTACAGTTGTCCCAATTTTCCTGTTGCTCTCTTCTGCCCCCCGCCAACCCTCCACAGTTAGTCCCCACACTGTTATCCATGTCCATGAGTCATTCATGCCTGTTTGTTGATTAGACCCTTCCCCTTCTTTCCCCCTTATCCCCAACTCCCTCCCCTCTGGTTACTGTCAGTCTGTTTCTTGTCTCATTTGTTTGTTTTGTTCATTAGGTTCCACTTACAGATGAGATCATATGGTATTTGTTTTTCACCACCTGGCTCATTTCACTTAGCAGAATGCTCTCCAGTTCCATCCATGCAGTCTCGAAATATAGGAGCTCCTTCTTTCTTTCTGCTGCATACAATTCTGTTGTGTAAATGTACCACAGGTTTTTGATTGACTCATTTACTGATGGGCACTTAGGTTGCTTCTAGCACTTGCTATTGTAAATTGTGCTGCTATGAACATAGGGGTGCATAGGTTCTTTTGTATTGGTGTTTCAAGGCTCTTAGGGCACAATCCCAGCAGTGGAATTGCTGGATTAAAAGGCAGTTCCATTTTTATTTTTTTGAGGAAATTCCATACTGTTTTCCATAGTGGCTGCTCCAAACTGCATTTCCACCAACAGTGTTATTAGGGTTCCCTTTTCTCCACATCCTCTCCAATACTTGTTGTTTGTTGATTTGTTTATGATGGCCATTCTAACCAGTGTAAGGTAGTATCTCATTGTGGTTTTAATTTGCATCTCTCTAATGGCTAGTGATGTTGAGCATTTTTCATATGTCTCTGGACCCTCTGTATGCCCTCATTGAGAACTGTCTGTACAGGTCCTTTGCCCATTTTTTAATTGGATTGTTTGTTTTCCTGGTGTGGCATGGTGTGAGTTCTTTATATATTTTGGAGATCAAACTCTTATCAGAGGTACCATTAGCAAATATATTTTCCCATACAGTTGGTTCCCTTTTCATTTTGATGATGTTTTCTTTAGCTTTGCAGGAGCTTTTAAATTTGGTATAGTCCCATTTTAGTCTTTCCTTTATTTCCCTTGCCTTAGAGGATATACTGGCAAAAATATTGCTGTGTGAAAAGGACAGAGAGGCTGTTTCTTAGCATTATCTATGAGTTCAAACCATTTAGTGTAACAAATCTCAAACCTGAAGAATAAAATAGGAATATGAATTTAACATAACACTATGTTTCTGGAAAGGTTAGCGTATTTTAAGATTATATTTGATAATTTTCAGATAATGTGGAGTAGTGGTAATAAAAATAATTTAGAAAGCTTTCTTAGAGTTTTAGCTGTGATTTATACAAATACTTAATCATGTTTTCTTCTAGATAATCATGCCAGTTTTTAAAGTAATGTATTTCTTAATTAAATAATACATAATCAATGGAAAATTTGAAAAACAATTAAAATGTAAAGAAAGGGGAAATTAATTAGTTTCAACTATTTCTTTACTCTATTTTTATGAACTAATAAATTTTAAACTTTTTCTGTACTCTATATTTTTAACGACTATTAACTTTTAAGCTTTATATTTAATTTATTTAAAAAAGTAACAGTCACAGTTGAAAAATGGAAAAAATATAAAAGGGTACATGGTAAAAACTCTACTGTAGCTACCTGGTTATCTTCCCTAGAGGCAACTACTGCTTTCTTTTCTTGTATAGCCTTCCAAAGGTATCTCTGTACCTATTTCTGATTTTAAGCACACTATTTTGAATCTTGCTGTTTTTCACTTAATATTGTATAGTGACCTCCATAATAGTACACAAAGGCCTTTACTCTTTTTTGCCAGTGAGCCACATTCTTTTTTATAAATGCACCATAATATTCTAACATCTGTTGATGGTCATACAATCTTTTACTCTTACAAACAATATGGTAGTGAAAAACTTTAAATATATTATTTTGCATATAGTTATGTAAGTCAGTAGAATAAAATTCAAGTGCTGAAATTTTTGGGTGAAAAGGAATGTACATTTATAATTTTGGTATTTCCAGAATGTTCTTTGTAGGTGTTGCAGCATGAACTTTGTTTTCAGGATATTAAAAACTCTTTTTGTATTATTTTCAGTGGCATAGAATTTTCTTTTTTTATTTATTTTTAAAATATTTTATTATTTATTTTTAGAGAAAGAGGAGGGGAGGGAGTAAGAGAGGAAGAGAAACATGAATGTGTGGTTGCCTCTTGTGCACCCTCTGTAGGGGACCTGAGCTGCAGCCCAGGCATGTGCCTTTGACTGGGAATCAAACCAGTGACACTTTGATTTGCAGGCTGGTGCTCAACCTACTGAACCATACCAGGCAGGGCAAGTTTTCTTTTTTAATGTGAATAATAGTTTACACAAATTTTCAGTTAATGGAAATTCTCAGTGTTTAAGGTTTTTTACTATTATAAATAATACTGGAATTAACATCCATATAGATTAAACATTTTGTGCTTGAATAATTTTCTTTGGCCAGGTTTCCAGAGATGAACTTACTGAGCCAAAAAACAAAGCATTATAAGGTTTAAAAAATTTCTGATACATGTCACCTAAATGGCTTATGAAAAAAGTTTGTCAGTTTTCTATAATCAATGTCATTTTGTGAGAGAGCATTTGTGAGTTTTATGTTCCTTCTCTAAAACAATC